AGCGGCGCGGGTGGCGGCGGGGGGACGAGCTCAGCCCGGGCCTCAGTGCGGTGAACAGGCCTGGTGCGCTTGCCCTAAAAATCGGCTTTTAGTAGAGGAATGCGCGTCAGTTAATACGACAGGTAGTATCTCATCAGCCTGATAAGTACCACGTTTCATTCACGGGTTTTTAAGACCTTTCTTCCTCTGTATTTTCAATTTTATTTTCTTTCATCAATTCACTCGGTCCGCGTTAACCCCTAGTTATTGCAAGCGCTTAATTGCCCAAGCTCTTCACATCGGTCTCCTGAGCGGCCGCATTAGTCTCTCTGGCCAGATGCCCCTTTTTGTTACGTTGTTGCTGTTTTATCGATATCTTTGTTGCTTAATTCGTGGTGAGGATAAGCTGTAAGACACGTGAAATGCGAAATGTGTTTATTTTTGAGGACGAGGAGTATTCGTGACTGGACAGCCTGCTGTATGTAGGCAAACCAGGGAGGGATGTTCTTGCAGCTTCCCACCACCAGATGCAGTTAGAAAAAACACTAAAAAAATTGCTTCTCCTCAGAGCAGTCAGGATTTTGCCCTTCCTTTCTGTTCCTACCACTTCTTCCATGCCACTGTACCCTTTGAATACATCATCTAGTCCGTAGAATAAAATAGTCCCATAGCTAAATTGTTCTTTACGCTCTAGAAGTCCATTTTTAAGAGGGTGCAGGTAGTGTTAGCTGGTGTTGACTGTAGTGTCTGATATTTGTAACTTCAACATTTTAGGCGTTTAAAGATACTGGCAAAGCACCTGTGGAACAAGAGGTAGCAATTCATCGCATTAGAATTACTTTGACAAGTCGCAATGTAAAATCACTTGAGAAGGGTGAGTGATACTTTCTTTTTTTTTAACTGGGTTAGCTTGTTAGGTAATGAATGATATATATGATATCATGTATTGCAAAATACAATGTATTGAAACCAGCTGTAATTAAAGATGTTGGCGTTCGCCTGTTTGTATGTGACTTGGCTAACAAAGTCAACCCAAAGCGCTGACAAGTAGATTCTAATTTAATTTTTAATGAAAGCTACTGTTTGGGGTTTATCATCACGCTGAAAACTTCATGTCATAATGATTAACTTAAGTGAGTGCAGCGTCTTCCCTTTAGTTCTTGTGTGGGTTTTAGTTGTCACTATTTGAATGTATAAGAACTGAAAGGCACCGGTTTCTTGACTGATATTTTGTCACTCTTGTTACAAAGAGTTTAGTTTAGAAGTTTTATGTTCTTTAAGAAATTATTTAATCTTGTTTAGGAACTGGCTTTGCCAGTGTTTTAATCATATAATGTAAATGTTGTAGAATCACTGTTTGATGCAGGATCTTCAGGCTGATAACAGCTTAAATACAGTGCTTTTGCCTACTGTTGTAACATGATTTTGCTAACCGTGGTGTAACACTTCTGCTTGTATGTGGTTGGCTATGAGGATAACCCTTAAAATGAATGGCAATGATCACTTCATACGCTATTCTGAGCCAACATCTTGTTTGAAATCTTGACTTAAGAAAACAAGCAAAAAAAATACTCACAAACCTGAGCTATTTTGTATTTTTTTTTTCAGTCTGTGCTGACTTGATCAGAGGCGCTAAGGAAAAAAACCTAAAGGTGAAAGGACCTGTTCGCATGCCCACCAAGGTACTTAACACTGTTTTCCTGTCTTAAAAGTTTGGTTTTTTTCCTGCAAATGTGCACTTAAAACATATTTTAAAAAAAAAAAAGTTCAGATGAAAAGCAGTACTACTAAACTGAGGGTGACCCAGTGTAAACGGATAATGACTTCACAAGTTGCTTTGACACGTGGGGAACTGTTTAGCGCAAAACATGTTGAACATGGAAGGGGCTTTTTTGTCCTTGAATTTATTTTAATCTTGGATTTTTTTTTTAATTAAATTGAATATGGGGAAGGAGTGTTAACTTCAGTAGAATATAACTTAAGAAGTACCTTTCCAATGACGTAGATACCATACAGTAGTTGTAGGTGGATTGATTTGATTGTAGGTTAGTCTTCTGTATGCATCAACTAAATACCCCGTGTTTTATGATTTTTCTTCAGACTCTGCGAATCACTACCAGGAAGACGCCTTGTGGTGAAGGTTCCAAGACCTGGGATCGTTTCCAAATGCGTATTCATAAGCGGCTCATTGACTTGCACAGCCCTTCTGAGATCGTGAAGCAGATCACTTCCATCAGCATTGAACCAGGTGTAGAAGTTGAAGTTACTATTGCCGATGCCTAAATGATGGTCATCGTTGAATAAAGTTGATTTACAAATTTTCATCACTGTTTGTTTTCATATGTGTGCCAAGAGTCTTGGGTAGCCCTGCGATGATTTTCATGAAGAAGGACAACAGAGATCATAATCAAAATGCTGTGTGAGAGGATTGTGTGATATTTAAGGAAGAATATGCCAGTTGTAAACATCAGGAAGGTGAAACTTGGGCATCATAGTTTCATTGGAGGTTGGTGACTGTATGGACATGCAGCACTTAAATCCTTTATGGAAAATATATTTTTAATAATTTAACTTTGGCTGAAATCTTAGTCTATACCCAGACAAACAGTAGTATTAAAATTGATGTTCAGGTAAACTAACAAGTTTTCAGTTCTTGGTTTTTGCCGTACAAGGCTGAACTAACACTTGGCGTACTTGGCTTTTTTTTTTCTCACGCTTTTCTTTGTCAATGGAACCTGAGGATGTTAGTTATAAAACTTCATAATTTGTGGTGAATACGTTGAATTTAGCAAGTTCTTTCTTTAGACTTGTACATAGAGTCGCAAAACTAAGCTGTGGAACTCTCTAGTTGTCTTTCTAGGTTTAGATTTCCATAGATTTGAATATTAAAGGTAGTGTTAAAGGTAAGCTTCATATGTAAAGCAATAAACCAGCCATTGTCATTGCTGCTACTTAGGCCTCTCAAGCTTGGTGGTGGGTTTTTTCTTCTGCGAACTAATCCTTAAAGGAATTATGATTAATTGTTAAACCTACAAGACACAGAGCCCTGAGTTAAATGAAAGAACACGGTCTCATCCATTTAAGATCAGGTTGCTGCTCCTGCTTCAAGCATAGGAGAGAACCTGAATTCTACTTAAACAAGCAGAAGTGAGGAACCAGGCAGTCGTGTGAACCTTGCGGTCCCATTTGTATTTGCTAAGATCTGACACAGTGGCCAAAGCTTGCGCTTTCTTACTCAAGGGATTCAAGAGTCCCTCACCTGCCCACTTGTCTTAATTGCGTTAAACGTAAAGCTTTGGAAGGATTCTATCCCTCTAGTTAGCAGGCTCAAGAGCTTTGGTAGAAGGGAGAGGTGAGAGACTTGCTTGTGTTTACACACAGTATTGTGACAAGCCTGCTTCCTTGGGGAACATAACAAAGAACTGTGTGAGCAGAGGGAAAACAAAAAAAACCTGCGTCTTCCTAAAGGTCAGTTTCTGGTAATACCGTACAAATGTGAGCTGCCTGACAAATACTTCTAGCCTTAGTTTTAGAATTGTTTGTATTTTATGGGGTGCTCTGAAAAGCATGGTAAGAACTTGACTCTGTGTCACCAGTCAGGTTAAAAGGGGATAAACCGGGGCGGACAAGCAACAGGCTGGAAGTGTTACTAGCTGAGGCTGACCGACCTTTCTGTGTGATTAGTTAGTAACTTTCCCCCAGGTCTTCTCTCTGCTTAACCCAATAGCCTGCTGACCAAAAGCACCTGGAGGATCTGGGGAGGGGAGAGCTGGCTAGCTTTGACGTCATTTGTGTCTTTGGTCCTTGCTGTTGGTCAAAACATAATAGCTTTTTCATGGCTCGCAGCTGGCTGTGTCTCTGACTTACACAGCACCCCTTAAACATATAAAGTCCCATTCGTGTTCTTCCAGCAGCTGTGGCTCTTTAAAATCAAGTTTTCTGTTGACTTTTGAGTGTGTTTCTCTCTTTTTCACCTGCCTCCAACTTAGGTTTAAAAACAAGGACAAAGACGCCTCTGCCTCTGCACCCGGGTCTTGCACTTCACAGGGAGGCAACTGTCTCCCTGCTCTCTGAATAGGCAGCCTCACCCGTGAAGGTTTCCCACTCTCTACCGTCTGCCGGCCGAAGGTGACGGAGCGTCGGCCCC